CCCCCCCCCCCCCCCCCGCCTTTGCATGAGGACACATAGATTCATATTAATGTGGTCACGCACGACGGGAGCGCACGTGATGGGGAAAACCCGTGCGTGACTGTTCTGGGCGTGTGCATGCTCTCGTCTCCCATCTCCATTCTCTCCTCCTCTCTCTTCTCTTCTCTTCCTCTCTCTTCTCTCTCTCTCTCTCTCGTCTCTCTCTCTCTCTCTCTCTCTCTCTCTCTCTCTCTCTCTCTCTCTCTCTCTCTCTCTCTCTCATCTCTCTCTCTCTCTCTCTCTCCTCTTGTCCTTTTCCTTCTTTTGCTGTTGTCCGTTCCCTTCCATCTATGTCTTCTCCCTTCTCGCAAGGTCGCGCTTACAGCTGTTTCTTGCTCTCTCTTTTCTCGTTATATTTTTTCTTATTATTCTCTCTGTCTGTGTCTGTGTCTCTCGTTATTCTGTCTCTATTTGTCTGCCTGTCTGTATCGGTTCTGTCTGTCTGTCTGTCTCACTCTGTATATATATATATATATATATATATATATATATATAGTGATGTGTGAGTGTGGAGAGTGATGAGTGTGTGAGTGTGTGAGTGTGAGTGTGTGAGTGTGAGTGTGAGTGTGTGAGTGTGAGTGTGTGTGAGTGGTGTGTGTGTGTGTGTGAGTGTGTGAGAGAGAGAATCCCTCTATGTCTGTCTGTTTTCTCGCTCTACGTATTTTCTGCGCATTTTCTTTTTCCGCCGTTCGTTTCGCCTGCCCTCGCCCCCACCCTCCCCAGCTCCCTTGAACATTTAGGCCTAGAATTCGGTGGCGTATGTGCGCAGGAAAGAAATTTGTTTGCGGAAAAAAACACCCAACTAAGGGCAAGGGAGGAGGGAAAAAAAATCTTCCTCATCTTAATTTCGGATGCATTTAACTCCTTGTTTGTTTCCGAGATCCTTTCGTGGACTTAGGCAGCGGACGAGAGGAAATTTCGAGAATGCGTAGGCGCTGGCGAGTCCGCTGCGTAGGTAGGCGGCTCGCGGTAGGCCTATAGGAAAGGGACGGCGGTGTTGTGTGGGGGGGGCGAGGCTGGAGGAAGGGGGGCAGGGGGGGATGGTGAGTGACGGCTAGGCTATTACGCAGTTCTCCTTCGCTGCCTCCTACTCCTCCTCCTCCTCCTTCCTCCTATTTGGTCCCCGGTTTCCCGAATGGATTGCTCGTTTGGTTTCCCGCCATTTTTTTTTTTTTTTTGAGGGGAGGGGAGAAATCCGTTTTTTTTTTTTTTGTTCTCCGTACGTTTTGGTTTTCCTTTTTTCATTTGTCTTGGGTGTTCTATGTCGTCGTTGGGCCTCTCGCCGGGGAGGGGTGGGAATCTGGAAGTGTTAACGGAAAATGTAGCTGTTGGCAACTCGGATCTAGTGTTGCCGTCTCTTGTAAATATGCGAAGTAATTTTGACTGTAAGAGTGTAGTATCTTTGAATTTATTAGCGGTAGTAAATTTAGAGGATTTACTCTGGTTATTTGAATTGATGTTTTGTTTTGAGAATGCTTGTAGGCGTGCATTACGTGTGCGTGCTTGCATGTGCGTGCGACGTGCCTGTGTTTGGGTTTATGAACGCTCCTGTACCACAATGTAACCATTAATGTATGGTACAGTTAAAATGGCGGTTGATTGCGGTTTTGGTGTCGCATTCTTTTCACCCGCTTAGGCCTATCGCTCTGTTTTCGTCGACGGCTGTTCTCAGGGTGGGAATAATGAAATGCCTTAATATATCCCCATTCGTAAAGCCCCGATAACGCCGCCAGAGATAAGAAGATACTGCACGGTTCAGGTGGAACGGACTGCCTTGTCGCGGCGCTTCCACGTCGTACATTAACAGGCGCACATTCCGACTCGTCTTTTCGCAGCCAGAAAGCGCACCAGCCAAGCTACCCATACGGAAGGGCCCGCCATCACGCGTTTTCGCCCCGACATAACGCAGAACGGAGCGGGCGAGGCGCAGTTTGTTGTGGCTGCGCGGCCTGTGACGTGTTTGTGGGTCAGAGCCATTGATCTGGCGTGGCAGCTCTGGCGGGGCGCGGGAGGCGTCGTCGCACACCTGGCAGCGCCGTCCGTCCGCTCACACACCCACGCTCGTAACGTGTCACCGAACGATTTACAATCCATCTTTCATTCATAAAAAGTGATGTACACTTCTTTCGGGGCGAGGTTATATGGGGTCGGGGCCAAGGGTAGGGGGTGGGGGGTGTTTGAGTGGAGTTTTGGGCGGCGTTTGACGGAGTCTGCCACACGCCGGGCAGACAGACCCGAATAAAACAATATTTTTTATCCGTTAAAATTTGTGTACAAGCTGCTCGCCCCGGTCTTGCGTTCGCGGGCGGTGCAGACGGGAGGGACATCGTGCACCGATTGCGCCCGTGCATTGCTCGATGCAGCGGGGCCCGGGTGTGCATTGGGCGCAGAACTTTAAAGCAGACTCATTTATTATCGTCTGCAAATCTCCGTCGTATTATGCACGACTGGGCTGCGGGTTAATTGTTCAATAAATTCGTCGCCGTCGGGGAGATTGTAGTTATTTGGGAGCCACGTGTACGATGTAGATTTTTTTTTTTACGGTTGATTCTCTTGTATGCTTATTGTTTAACTTCCGTTCTCCTCCCTCCTGTTCATTCTCGGACGGTCACTTTGCCGCCTTTCTGACCGAGATAAATCGGTTGATTTATTTTACTCTCTCTCTCTCTCTCTCTCTCTCTCTCTCTCTCTCTCTCTCTCTCTCTCTCTCTCTCTCCTCTCTCTCTCTCTCTCTCTCTCTCTCTCTCTCTCTCTCTTCTCTCTCTCTCTCTCTCTCTCTCTCCTCTCTCTCTCTCTCTCTCTCTCTCTCTTCTCTCTCTCTCTCTCTCTCTCTCTCTCTCTCTCCTCCTCTCTCTCTCCTCTCTCTCTCTCTCTCTCTCTCTCTCTCTCTCTCTCTCTCTCTCTCCCTCTCTCTCCTCTCTCTCTTCTCTCTCTCTCTCTCCTCTTCTCTCTCCTCTCTCTCTCTCTCTCTCTCTCTCTCTCCTCTCCTCTCCTCTCTCCCTCCTCTCTCTCTCTCTCTCTCTCCTCTCTCTCTCTCCTCTCTCTCTCTCTCTCTCCTCCTCTCTCTCTCTCTCTCCTCTCTCCTCTGTCCTCTCTCTCTCTCTCGTCCTCTCCTCTCCCGTCCCCTCTTCTCTCTTACATCCTCCCCTCCCTTCTCCTACCTCCTCTCTTCCCCTCTTCTCTCCCGTTCTCTTTCCCCTCGGTGCCATCCCCGCAGTCCTCCGTCCATGCATCCCCACACAGGTCCCCCCCCTCCCCCTGGGCCTCCCTCTCTCCCCGGGACATCGTCTATGGGTCGGACCCCCCCCCCCCCACCCATGTGCCGTACCTGTTCTGTTCTGTTCGTAGAAACTGCCGCCGCCGCCGCCGCCGCCACCTCCGCCGACTTAAAGCTGCTGGGGTGTTGTACTGTATGCGCTGAGGGCGGATGGGATAGGGAGGAGGAGGAGGAGGATAGGAGCAGTAGGAGGAAGGAGGAGAGGAGGAGGAGAAGGAGAGTAGTACACGTGCTGCGTCTGGAGTTCCCTCTCTCGGAGGTCTTTTGTAATCGCGGTCGTAGTACGGCGCGGGGGGGGTAGGGTGGGGGTTGTAGCAGCGTGGGCCCGTCGGATGTTGTGTGTGTTGCATGATGGTAGGAATTATGTCGTTTGGCGTTTGTTGTGGGGCGTAATTGTTGTTATTGGCTAAACGGGGAGGGGCACGCACGACGCGCGCTCTCTCGTGTGTGTGTGTGTGGGGGGGGTGAGTGGGTGTGGTGTGTCTTCGTTGTTGTTTCTGTGTCCTTTTTTTTGTTCTTGACTTTCGTCCCTGCCTTTGCTCTCTCTCGTCTTGTCTGCTCTTTTCTTCGGCGACTCAGAATGATGATGATAATGATGATGATGATATGATGATGATATATGATGATAATGATGATGACGACGACGACGACGACTCATTATTATGATGATGATGAGGATGAAGGTGATGAGGATGACTGACTGACACAATGCAATGACAATGACAATGAAAGATGACAATGACAGTGATGACAATGACAATGACATGACAATGACAATGACAATGACAGTGACGATGACAGTGAAAATAAGACACCGACGTCTCAAGACTCAAGACGAAACGAAGGGGGCGCTGAGGTTGCCGACGTTTCAGGGAAAGGGAGGAGCCCATGGCGGGATTTTGAAGATCTTTCCTGCGTTATTTTTTTCCAAGTGTTTTAGTTTCTGGCGTTGAACGGAGGGACTTTTTTTTAAAGGTGTGGAATGAGTGTCGGGGTTGCTTTCTGTTTCGTAGATTTTCATTTTTCTTCTTCATTTTTGTTTGTTATCATTATTGTTATTATTATTGTTGTTTGTAATGAATATTGTTATATTTTTTTGTTGTAATTATTATTGTTATTATATTATTATTATTATTGTTATTATTATTATTATTATTATTATTATTGTTGTTATTATTTTATTTTATATTTTATTATATTTATTATTATAATTATTATTATCATTATTATTTTTAATATTATTATTTTATTATATTATATTATACTATTGTTATATTACTATTATTATTATTTCTATTGATAACGATGGTGATACTAATAAGGATGTTATTTATTTATATTATTATTATTATTGGTAGTAGTAGTAGTAGTAGTAGTAGTAGTAGTAGTAGTAGTAGTAGTAGTAGTAGTAGTAGTAGTAGTAGTAGTAGTAGTAGTAGTAGTAGTAGTAGTTAGTAGTCTAGTAGTAGTTTATTTCTATTGATTTTTCTGTTACTTATATTATCGTCATCAATCTTTATATGATCATCATTATTTTCCACACATCAAAAAAAAAAAAAAAAAAAAAAATGTTATACATGTACGTGTCCATACCCTTACCACATACACTCATCGCAACATTAACCGAAACAGAAAAAGATTAATTTACTCATTTCCTTCATTTTTTTCTCTCCTCCTCCCGCAGACGATGAAGAAGAAGTACTTCGTCCTTCGGCGGGAGACCGGGCCCGACACCCCCGCCCGACTCGAGTATTACGATTCGGAGAAGAAGTTCAAGTCGGGCGCCCAGCCGAAGAAGTGAGGGGGGCGGGGGGATTTGGAGAAGGGTGTGTGTGTGGGTGGATGGTGGGGGTGTCTTTGTTTGATTGTGTTGTGTGTTGATTGTGATTGTGATTGTGTGTATTGTGATTGTGTGTGATTGTGATTGTGTGTTGTGATTGTGTGTTGTGATTGTGATTGTGTGTATTGTGTGTGATTGTGTGATTTGTGTGTGTGTGTGTGTGTGTGTGTGTGTTGTGTGTGTGTGTGTGTGTGTGTGTGTGTGTTGTTGTGTGTGTGATGTGATTGTTTGTGTGTGTGATTGTGATGTGTGTGTGTGTGATTGTGTGATTGTGTGTGATTTGTGTGTGTGATTGTGTGTGTGTTGATTGTGTGTGTGTGCGTGCGTGCGTGTGTGGTGTGTGTGTGTGTGTGTGTGTGTGTGTGTGTGTGTGTGTGCGTGCGTGTGCGTTGTTGTGTGTGCGCGCGCTTTGTGTTGTGCGTTTTTTTTTTTTTTTTTTTTTTTTTTAGAATTGTCCTAGACGTTAAGTGAAATTATAATCACATTATGTACAGATTATTTAACATTGCGATGCGTTTTTTTATTGTAGCTTGGATAACAAGGAACGTAAATTAATGTATATTAGGATAACCCGCCTCCAAGCATAACACGGAGCGCCAAATTAAATCCCATCCTCTCTCTTTTCTTCCCGCCCCCCTCCCCAATAAAAAAAAAAATCCATCCTCTACTTTCTCCCCCCCTCAAAAAAAAAAATGGAAATAAAAATCCATCCTTCCCTGTTTGCGCTCAAAAAAAAAAAAAAAAAAAAAAAAAAAAAAAAAAAAAAATCTCTGCTCTACTTTTCGCCCGCCAAAATGATAATGATAATAATAACAAAAATGATTATACAAATAAATAAATAAATAATGATAATAATGATAAATGATTAAAATAAACAAAATGATAATGATAAAATAATGATAATGATAACAATAAATGATAATGATAACAATAAATGATAATGATAACAATAAATGATAATGATAACAATAAATGATAACGATAACAATAAATAATAAATGACAATAAATAATAAATGACAATAAATAATAAATAACAATAAATAACCAATACATGATGATAACCTCCAACCGCCCCCACCCCGCAGACCCATCATCCTGCGCACGTGCTTCAGCATCAACCGCAAGAAGGACCCGAAGCACAGTCACGTGATCGCGCTCTACACCAACCACGACTCGGTGAGCATGGCCGCCGAGTCCGAGCCGAGCTCAATCGACTGGCTGAGCTTCCTGCACCCACCACATGCACCATCCGTGATTCTGCAGACCATCAGTATGACGACTAGAAGACCCCACTCATTCATCGCTGCCCCTAACGTACTTCTTACAATCCCCACGCCCTCTCTCACCTATTCATGGGCTTTAGGTGGCCTGTTCATCCGGTACAGTCGTTCCGTAAAACCATCTCTATCTTTTATCGATATTCATTGTACTTCGCTCTGCTTCTCGCGTGGCAGCAAGCGCGAGTATGATGAAATATCTATGTGACAATTTGCCGGCCTTCTGATTTGCGAAGCCCTAGGCGTCTTGTCATTGTAGGCACTACTCGGATTATGACGCAAGGCCCTGGTCCAACCGCGTATAACGAGCAGGCACTTGTATGATAGCGGAGGAGGGTCAGGAGGGGGAAGCAGTGCGGTAAGGGAGGTGTAGAGCGGTGGTGGTACAGGAGTTGTGGGAAGGGCTTTCGCCTAACGTCTGGTAACGGGAGGGTTGTGGGAAGGGTTGTGTAATAGGCTGTCAGGGATGGGTTTGGGAAGGCGAATGTCAAGGATAGGAGGTGTAAGGAAGCGGTATGAGGTAAGGTAAGGCTCTCTTCTGCACATGAGCTGCGCTGAAGAGATAGGGATCCTTCAGTAAGGTAGGGAGGGACATATAAATAAACACGGCTGGTTATTGTATCTATTTGTAGATTTTTGTTCCCTGCTTAGCTTCTTGCGATTTTTTTTCTGATCTCTTCGCTAATCTTTTTATGTACTCTCTTGTCCTAAAAAAAATCCCCTTATTTTTCTATTTCTTATTATATTCCTTATTTATGCTGATTCCCTTATTAATCTGGTGCTTGTTCTTATAACTCATATTCTCATTAGGTCTTACACTTAGTCCTCTTAATGATTCTTACTTATTATTCTTACTTATATTCCAATTCTTACTACAGTGCTGCATTTACAAACTCACATTCACACACATTCTTTCTTTCTTTCTTTCTTTCTTACCATCTCTTTCCTTTCCTCTTTACTCCTCTCTCCTTCTCTCTCCTCTACTCTCCTCTTCTGTCCTCTCTGCTCTCCTCCTTCCTCCTCTCTCTCCTTCCCTCCTCTCTGCTCCCTCTCCCTCGCCTTCTTCCCTCTCTCCTCCTCTCTCCTCTCTCTCCCCCCCTTCTCGGATGATGATTAGTGGATGTCATGTTGTTTTCATTAGTTTTTTTTTGTGTGATATAATAGGAGTTTCCACGAAAAGTATGATTGATTATACTGTGGTTGTCGTTTTTTGTTGTTTTTATTTCATACTTTAAAAAGAATAATAACATTTGAATTCCCCAGGGTAGGGACCCTCTTTGTCAAATTAGCTCCCTCACCTTCGAGCAGCTTCTTCTTCACATGTCCATCTTACGTCTGTCACACGCTGTTCGATCCATTGTCGTCACAGGCCCCTCTTAGTGATCTTCAGATCATTTCCGCTAGATCAACAATCTTCGACCTGCTCACTCTCTTTCGCCTCCCTTACTCTTCGCGCGCGCTCACGGTTATATCAGACCTCAAAGTCTATACGGCACCATTCACCTATTCTCAAGCACCGCCCACTCCATCAGCTTACCCTACCGGTCTTTTCTCGCAGCATCTCCACCCCTCTACTTGTCAGCACAAGGTCGTGTCTACCTCACCTCCCCTATCCGTCTGCCTTCATCTAGCCCCGCCACTGCGCTGCTGCTCAAACTCTCCCCGCCCATACCGATCTCATACACACCTCACCACCTCCACCCTTTCCACTTCTTTTCTTTCTACCACACTGAACGACATCTTATACCTTATGATCTACCTCTCATTCCGCACTTCCTTCACCCTCCGTCACCAACATCCCATATACCACTTTCCAGTGTAGAATCACTTATTCTGTTGCTGCCCCTATTTCCCTTCTCCAGAAGAAAACCTGCCTTTATGTTTGTTTCCAAAAAGTTGACACACATTTATACCATGTTTGGTATTCGCTGTTGGTAGTTTTATGTCTTATAATATTTTCCCTTATATGCTTCAAAACAGAGCACGTGTGGATGGTGGAGATCCAGCCCAGAAGCCTTGGCAGCAGTAAAGGGATCACGGGAGAATATCACATCTGTCTGACCTACAAGTCAATTGCTCTCGTGCGGGTCGGAGATAGTCAGAAGAAAATCGAGTTCCCGGTAAGGACTTTAGGCAAAAGATGCAAATCGAAATTTTGAGAAAGAATTATTGTCTTTATTTTCTTTATTTATTCATTTTTGTTTTAGCCTTTTTTGATTATTCAACCTAGCATTGCTGGGAAAATGAGTTCACTTTAGTATTTTGTGAAATGTCTCCACACTTTATAAGCACTCAGTTAGTCAACCTTATGACCTCACCTGATTTCACCTTTCGTTGAGTTTTTGGAATATTTTTTTCCTAATGCTCTCAATATTGTTATAGATATTGTCATTATTGCAATGTTATTGACATTACTAACAGCAATATAAGTAAAAAAGATATTTAGGTAGTACTAGTAATTGGTTCATTGAGGACAAAGTACTTGTGGAGGCACCTGTATGTAACGACAATTCAGAAACTAAACTCTCAGTGGGCATGGCATCCCTGGTGGCATTAGGTTAAGGAAGACTTTCTTTGGGTTTAGTGTTTTTATCTTGAACTTGGAAGGTGTTTTTGGGAGAATACAATATTTCATGTATTAAAATAGGAAATTTGGAAAACATGATAATTATTGTAAAAGATTTTTTTTCTTCTTTGTTTGCTAAATGAGGTGTTCCTTTATATTCCAATTAGTTGATTTAAAACAAATCACCCCTTCACACTGCAGTTAAACAGCATCCGGCGTTGCGGCCACACAGGCTCCTTTTTCTTCTTGGGGCTGGGGAGGTCAGCCGTCACTGGCGCAGGAGACATCTGGATGCTAACGGAAGATGCTGTCATTGCTGAAAACATGCATGGTATTATTCGCAGGTAAGAAACTGGGTAGGACGGTACCTTGGATATAGGAGGGAGTTGTAAAATTTGTAGACCATTAATTAGATATTTAATATGCAACAATAGGGATACACACTTTCTTAATATATTAGTATATAATATGATTTGGTTTTGTGTATTCAAGTTTAGGTGCCCAAAGAAAAAAACAAGAAATCAACTGTTAAAAGTATCTTTTTCCCATTTTTTAGAGCAATGCATGCTCCTTGCAACAACATGAGTGAAGACCCAGTGTCCCGGGAACGAACCCAGTCAATGTCAAATCAACGTTCATTTGACAGTAAGGAAGACATATTTTGTATGTATACTGTTTTAGCATCTGGATTCCTGTTTCAATGATATAATATGATATTGGTATATTTGACCCTATTCCATATGATGTGATTTCAATATATCTGGAAAACCTTTGTTTCATTGTTGCAAATTTCCATAACAAATTTTCCAATTTTCCACGTCTTACAGGTAGTGGGCAGTGCCTGACGCGTGGACGATGTGGCAGCATGCCCTCCCGGAGTCGCACAAGTAGTGAAGGATCTATGCAGACTGGGCCTAACAAGCTTCCGCCAAACTGCAGTCATCAGATGGATGGTCCACACCCGGGATCTGTGTGTCTTCATCCCATCACTCGGCCTAAATCAATGTACTCATCATCTCTCTCCTCGTCATGCTCTCCGCCTTGTGCTTCTGCTTTGTTCAGGTATTTGTATGTGGCCTGCAGGTGACCCACCCAAGTAAAATATATTTATTGAATACTTCTCTTTTTTGAGGTATTTTGGCTGGTTGATTTAAATAAACAATTGTTTTATCTTTCTGGTAAGCATAAAGTATTGCCAATAAAAATTGTAAGGAGAAATTCACACATAATTAATATACATTACTATTTAATTTAATTGCTAGGTATCTCATGTTGCAAATTATTTGTATCAGTTTTACTACTGTACTAACCATTTTCTGGTGATAAATGTTAGAGGTCCTCTAATTTTGGTATATAGTGACTTAAATTTCTACGCTAACGTGCTCACATATCCTATATATTTTTATAAAAAGTCATGATGTTCCCCCTAACATAAACAACCTTTGCTAATGATTATTGTGGTGTTGGAAGAAATAACATACCTGGAAGGCTGCCATTGCAGGTTTCTGAGAAGCAATGTTCACTTTTTGAAGGTTGGGTCGCTCTCAGGGCACTTCTGGCTGTGTGTGTGACCTGCTTCTAATGCCTTGTCATCGTGTTTGCTTGACCACCAAGAAGGACAAGTGTTAGCTAGTGATCTGAGTCCTAAATTTTCTGAAAGTTTACCTCTCATGATTGCCATTATTGACATATGAGTAATGCTAAATGGGTTAGGCCTTACCAGATGCTAGCTAACATTTGCCTGTGGTTATTGGTCTTTTGTCTTCACAATCCAATTAACTGCACATTATACTAACTGCTTGTTACTAAAGCTAACATGATTCCGAATAAAAAAATTATTAAAAGATCTTCACATTATCCACTGTCAGCTCAATCCTGCTGACAGGCTTCTACACCCATGCCTCAAAGGTGTTCAAAACAGGTGAATGTGATGTTAACCAGTTTTGAACGCCCATGAGGTGAGGCCTACGTGCAGGATAGAGCTGAAAGTGAATTATATGTTTCCTAATATAGGTTAAAGTTTGATATTCTGTTCAGAGAAGTTTTGCATTATGTTGCTGTAAAAGGTATCACATTCACAACAGTATAATTTTTGGGATTATTATTTGGTATATGTAACTGCATCAAGTTATGTTGGGTATGAAAACACTTGCATACACATTTTAATTTTTTTTATTTTTTTCACTGAAGACTTTTATATTTATATATAAGTATGTTTTTAAAAGAAAGTTTTGAAAAGAAGTTCATAGAAAAGTATAAAAGAATATTTGGTGATTTGAATGTACAAGATATATCACAAGAAAAATATTTCATAAA